GTGTCTGCAAATCCTTCCCTTTCTACTAAACCCAAAAAGAAAAAATAAACAAAATATGCCTTCATTTTGCCTCCCTCCTGCATACCACGGGTCTCCAACCATAGAAGCTTCTTCTAAAACTCAGAGTATCTCCCCTAATATCTCCATATTCCTAAATTGCCTCTCTACCTCGTTAAAGCCTAACTGAACCCATTAGCAGCTTATTCCCATAAATTCTTCATACTAAGTATGCAAACTCATTATCAAGATTCAACTATTTTTACCTAAAAACCAATACCTATCAACCACAGTGCTAGGAAACTTCACATTTGTTACTGGGCGTGAGTGCTACTCAGCCAACCTCATCAGGGCCCTTAGTACGGCTCTGAAAGACTTTCCTTACACCTACTCAGTCCTTTCTTACATTGTCCAAAATGGTTACTCCACATTTCCCACTTCTGTTAATCTGGACTCCTCATGCCTGCTCACCTATTCTAAGCCAATAACCTTAACTTAGAGTCCACTGAGCAAATAAAGCCCCTCAGGGGCTAACAGCGCTTTAACTTCCCATGAGAAACCTCTGCTGATCTACCTGCATCCTACATTATTTATTTTCAACTCATTTTGGGCAAAGAGGTGTATCTTCTGCTCTTCAAAGCTAACCCCTCCATCTCTCTGGGAACATGGCCCACTGCTATTCCTTTTTGTTTCTCATATTTTTAAAATCTTTAATCTCTTCCTCAAAATACAAGCATGTCTAAGCAAGTATAATTCAAGAAAGAAAGAAGAAAAGAAGGAAGGAAGGAAAGAGAAAAGAAAAGAAGGAAGGAAAGAAAGAAAAGAAAGAAAGAAAATTTTCTAAGGTGTAATTCCAAAGACTTCCACTTGACCAAAATTGAGTTCCAGAGATAAAATTAAAGACTCACCCTTCCATGAGAAACCACCACAAAACAGGCAAAATACATGAAATAATGGTTCTCCAAACACTGGGCATGAGGTAGTACAGGACAGGGGACCCTAAGGGATGGGAAACAAACCAGGAAAGCCCTATAACGGCTACAGCCACCCCGGCTATCGCCACCACAGAGGCTTCCAGGCTGAGGAGCAGAAAGGGAGAGCCCAGACCGACCCCCTGAGTGGAACAGACAGAGCTGAGAGACTGGGGAGAACAAGGCAGCTGGAATTCACAGAGAAGAGGACCAGAGAGAAGGGAGCTGCACAGAGACAACTCTGGAGATCTGCAGAGGGTCCCCCTGGCGTTTTCAGCTGATCAGCACAAGAATACATGGAACCTACCAAAGGCTGAAAGGAACTCCCACCCAAAAAGATCAGAGGGAGCAGTGCCAGGTCCTCACACAGGACCAGGAATGATACCTGCCCCAGCCAGACGGGAAAAGCTCACAATTCACAGGGCATTAGGTCGAGTGCTCAGAAGAGTTGCCTCAGCAGGGGGAATAATTAGACTTAGAACAAGCACTGCGCTGATTCCTTCTACCTATTTTAAAAGCAAGATCAGAAAGGATTACATGATTTCCAACTAACTTAAATGAATCCCAGAATAAAGACAGATAATACTTCCAGGAATCCAAAGATGCCAGCAACCAACAGACAAAATTCACAAAGTCTGGCATCCAAACAAAAGTCACCAGGCATGCAAAGTAGTAGGAAAACGTGAGCCACAATTAAGAGAAAAAATACAATAGAAACTGATCCAGTCACACAGCCAACATGCTGGCTGCGCCTGCTTTCCTTTACTTCCTCAGTGGTCGCATTCACTAAGGTGGAGCCATGCTCCAGCATCCTAATTTAGGGAGTGACCCAGGTCAGTCTCCCTCCTCAGTTGGGACAGTTACATTCCCCTTTGTGCAAAGGAACTCAACTCCTGGATGCTCCTGCCTGGAGGAGACCCTGAGGACCTGCCAGGAGCTTCGACTCCACGCAACGTTCAGTTTCTGTTCTATTCCTGGTCCACAGAGGTATTTTTCTAGCTTTTGCTCATGGCTATGTCTTTTTAGTTTCCTACTGTTACACTTTAACTCTTATTGCCATGTGTTGGGAGCACAGGGGAAGCTTCAAAACAAGACCTTTCCTCAACTGCAAGTTCCACCCCCATTATCCCTGAAATTCCTCCCTTGCTTTCAACGACACTACTCTCCCTTGGTTTTCCTCTCACCTCTCTGATTCCTGCCCCTTTTTTTGAATTCCTCTTCTCTGTTCACCCAGTAAGTGTGTGGGCCTTTAAGGGTCTCAGTCTCCCCTTACTCTATGATAAAGGTTTAATCTGAGGCTTTGTAAGTCTGTGATCCCCTGAAATTTTATAAAAATTCTGTATTTTTTTCAATCAGGAAAAAAAGTTACAAATTCTATTTAAAGTCAGATTTCATTTTCATAAGAAATCTTGCACTGCAGTGTTTACCATAAATGCAACTCTTTAGTTATTTAGAATTAACTCCATGGTTGTGGCAAGTATAGTATAAGTAAACAGACATATAAAGCTACATTTGAAAACAGAAGATGCTCTTTAGAAGTCCATTCAATTAATGAAAAGTTAAATTGGATCTCTGTAAGTGTTGACAGTGGGGGAGAGCAATAAACTGAGTTGGTTAAATGAAGGGCAAAGGATAGGTTGAACGTGTGTCTCCCATGAATAACGAGTGAATACTGGACTGTGTTTACGTGTTTGTGAATATTTTAAATCATCAAATATTTAGTTAGTACCTTTCAAAGGCAGTGCTAGATACTGGGAAGACCCAGATGAACAAGGCACAGCCTCTGCCTTCCTTGAGTTTACAGTTTAGTCTTTTACTTTTCTTATTATTTATTTTAATTCTGCTCCTCTATTCCCTAAAGGGAGTTGCTTGAGTGTGGCAATCTAAGAAGGACTAGGGGCAGGGTGATGAAACAGGCATGAGGATAACTTACCCAGTTCTGTTTCCAACATCCTCAAAGAGTTCTCCTTTGAGACTGAAACCTACAGAGAAATGTAGCAGCATTTTTCCCCCTCTCTGCTAGCTAATTGGCTCATTATCCTTGCTAATTGGGCAGAGCAGCACAAATAAGCCAAAGGAAAAAAAAATCAAGAAAAAATGGGCACATTTCCCAAAACACCTCCCAGTTTTCTGATCGTTATGAGAGCTCATTTTAGAACTGGAGGTCAGAGGGGCTTGGGGCTAGGGAAACAAAGTTTGTATGTAAATAAGCCAGGCCTCCTTTTACAGAAGAGTTTAAGGGACTGGTTGACAAAGTGTACAGAATCCTTGCTCTCCGACACCACAAAGTATCTATTACATGAGAATTTCCTTCTGGCGCCAGGCGGCATTTAGTTTTTACTTGATGTTCTATAGAGGATGAGGCACTGAGGGGGAAGGGGACAGAGGGTGCAGGGCTGCTGAAATGAGAGTGACTCTGAGCAGAGCCTACTTTTGGGAGAGGGGGAAGACAAGAACGAGCCCCCAGGGAAGAGAATGGGGACAAAAACGTAATAACTGACCTTGTACAATGTTCTACAGTTTCCAGTGGAACTTGCACACGGTGGTCTGCTTGTCCCTCACCACGACCACCTGGGAGGTGGCTATGCACAGAGAAACAACTCCAAGAAGGCCAGCAAGTGGCCAAAGGTGGCTGAGCTGATAGGCAGAGATCTCCTAATGTCTAGAACAGAGGTGCCTCTTCCCAGAACATGCCACATGGCAGGATGTCACTCTCTCCTTAAATTAATCCAAGGCTTGGGATCACATACTGGAGACCAGAGCTGGCTGCTACATTTCAAAGCGTGTTTCGTAATGGAAGGTTTTCACACTTCCAAAGTACTGCCGATAAAATTCAACAGTAAAAGAAAAATCTCCTATGTCAGAGTCTTAGCTTCTGCCTAGGAATGAAAGGCTGTCTCAAGGAAATTTTTTAAATAAAATTTCTATCAGACCCATGAGCTACAGTCCAGACTTACCTGCTCTCCAGGAACCACCAAATCGGTGAAGTCCAGGGTTTCTGCAAACAGGCCTTCCAAGGAGATCTTCGCCCAATAGGGCTTTTCTTCCTGAGAGCTGGGCTGCTTTAATCTCCTAATGGAGTGTTCAAAGTCATTTGCAGGAGACAAGCAGCGTTCTAGTAATCTGGGGTTTGCAAAACAGTTATGGCGTCCAAGAATCCACATGCACCGCTTTAAAAAAAAAAAAAATCTTTTTCACAGTCTCCTGCATTTTCAATTGCCAACACAATCAGTGAGGGCTTTTCCTTCTGCCCTAAATGGCAGAGAAAATCAAGTCTCTGAGTCTCAACACCTTCCCGCTCCCCTTTTTCATGCTTCATTCCGGCTTGTCTACCTTCAAACTTCGCAAACCTGATGTGTCCAGGCACTGGCCTGCCTAAACCCTAAGGCCTCCTGGGGCTCCAAGGAGGGAAAAATCTGGCTGCAATTCTTGGATAAATAAACAAGCAGAGGAGGATTTGTCGCGTCATGGATGACAAAGGACTCCTCCCGTCCCAGTTCCACTGTTCCCACAGGCGCGTGACTAGCAGGATCCAAGTGCCAGAAGTTCCCTTCTCTCCCGGTCAGGGAGCGTGGAGACACCCCGCGCGAACCCAGGAGCGAAGGCGGCCCCAGGCTTCGGGGAGACGAAGAAACATGGCCGGCCTGACCTTGCGCACCCCACGTGACCTCCCCGCCCCGCCCCCCGCCGTGTGACCTGCACACCACGTGACCGGCACCCACGTGACCTGCGCGCCCCCCCCCCGTCCTGGGACCTGCACACCACGTGACCTGCGCGGCGCCTGCGCCGGAACCTCCAGCTCCCAGGCCCGGGCATCGCACTCTGTACCCGGCGCTGCCGTGAAAAGGCCCACGACCTGGGCCCTGGAGCCCTGGCTGGTGTCTACAGGGCGGCCGGTCCTTCCTGGGGAACGTAGCCCAGCGCCTCTTTGATAGTTTTCTCGGTTCCGCAGGCTGCAGAAATCCAAGCCAACCAGAAGCGTTTGTCAGCATGTTCTGGGGTTGCAGATTCAAGTAGTTGGGTACACGTGAAATGGTGCAGGCAGAGGACAGGGTTAGTAAGAGGAAACGTGTTGCCATGTGTGCTTCCCGCATTATGGTGTTTTTTCCCACGAGAATGCCTTCTGAATGGGCGGAAGTTGGTCTCACCAACACCTGCCACGGCAAGGAGTAGACACCCAATGCACATTTGCAGCATTTATCCCCGAATTATCCAATAGAAATAAATAATGTGAGCCACATCTGTAATTCTAAGTTTCTAGGAATTTTATAAAAGTAAAAAGAAATGGTAAAATTATTTCTAATAATATGCCTCCTTTAACCCAGTATATCCAAAGTATTATCCTTGTCATATTTTCTTAAATCAATGAGATATTTTACATTCTTCTCCTCATATTGTCTTCAATATCTGATGTGTATTTTACAATACTGTACACCCTAGCCACATGCCAAGTGCTCAATTTCCTCATATGGCTGGTGGCTTCCATGGTGGCCAGTGCTGATCTAGACTATTTTTCTAGATCAAGGTATGGGCAGTTTCTTCGGCCAACTGGACAACCCAGAACATCAGGAGGCTCTGGGGACACCACTAGGAAAGTCATGTGGGGAGGACTGTATCCATTCAAATGCATTCCCACCAACAACCATTTCTTAAACACCTACTTACTACAAGCTTTGACTTGTGTTCACAGAGTATAGACACAGCCCCCCCACAAAAAAATTCTGAAGGTACTTGACTTGCCCAACGTCAGACGTCCTTACTTAGTACGTACTTCTGGTGGGCGAGTGGCATTAAATGGCTTTTTTCTATAGTCTCTGATTATTGTCCACCTCATTCTCCCTTTTTAGAAAACCAAAGTCTGCATTTTTTAATATTTTAGTAAATTATGCACCTTTTCTGTGTTACATGTAGCATGCTGCTTCTCCACACTCTCATTTAATCCTGTCAGTAACTCTGATGTAGGCAATTTATCCCAGGTTTCAGATAGGGAAAATGAACCTTGGAGAAGTGCTATGACTTTCATGGTGAGAAAACTTGGAGAAAGACTCTAATGTAGTTCCATCCATTTTCCCTCAGTAAAGTCTCTTATGAGATCTATGGAAAATGTTGGGCTATGGGACCTTGCACTTCAGACCCTAGAAACCTGTAGTCAAAGCAAATGAAACATCTGGTGCCCTCTGAAGCCTAGAACAAGGCCTGATATACAAACTCTGGGTCAGTTCTGGGCCCTGACACTTCGTAAATGTGTGATGTTGAGAAGGCAATTCATAGTAATAAAAATAACTAGCATTTATTGATTTTCTCCCATGCATCGGGCTGTGGCCCAGGCAATTGGTTATATACTTCCCTTCCTCACAACAAAATAGATATTTCATATTGTAGATTAGTAATCTGAGCCTCAGGAAAAGTAAATTGCCCAAGGTCATACAGCTAATAAGCAGAACAGCCAGAATTATTAATGTATGAATTATTATTAAATGTATTAATATCTGATAAGATAACTTTAACCCCACTTCCCATTGCATTCTTAAAAAGAATATCTTGACTAATTTCAAAATCATCAATACATACCATAAGCAACTGTGTATTCATGTTTCACATCTAAAAGGTTGTAAAGCATGAGCAGGTAGGAATTGGCTTCAATGTGCTTTTTTAAAATACAAAAGCGAAAGTTTTATTATTCACCTGCAATGTGTGGTAACTAGCCCAAACAATTAAAACAACTGGGTTTTCAAAAGAATTCTACTTGCGTTATTCAGCTCATGAGGTTTTTGGAGCCACTGAGAGAGAAGGAAAAGTAAAAGCATTTTGAAAGTGTGAAGTGGTGACAAGAGTCAGATATCATTACAAACGTGTTAAAAGCAAACTTCAGTTATATACAAACAGGAAATGTATATGAAGATACATTTCTTAATTTCATTAGGAGTCTGCAACTCGAAAAAAAGAGAAGAAACGATGGAAATATAACTAGAAGAAATGGAGGGAAGGGGAAATGAAAAAAAGAGAAAATAGGTGTCTTTCTTTAAAGAGATCAGAGGGAGAAAGGGGGGAAGGGAGAGAGGGACGGGAGGGAGGGAGGAAGGGAGAGAA